TGGTCTCTGGACTTTGAGATTTCAGGGGAAACTTTGCACTCAACGAAAGGTGGCTAAGAAAGGTGAGACTATTCTCATAAGGCTTGAATTCCTCCTGATGGTTCAGTAGGATTTGCACTGAAGCAAAATTGTAAAACTCTTTAAGATAATTTTGCAACTGTTTAATGACTGTTGGCCAACACAGAGACATTTTTAGCCTTGAATTTACACACAGAGAAAAGATATAGCCAGAAATCTGTTGGTGGTATTTTTAAAATTTCTTACCAAATATCAGGCTGGCCCTGTTTGTAATATCAATAAAACATTTAGGAACTATATCAAAGTTCTTCAGTTTTTGTTGCATTGACGGTTGATGGGATTTTAATCTTGTTGGCATTTGCATCAGGTAGGAAGTTGGGGAAAGCCCTTAAATACTCAATTGGCTTTAATGTCCTTAACATCTGTTGAAGTTTTTGTTCAAGTTCTCTGGTTGATTTTAGTGCTATAGGAATTCTTAATGCCTCATCTTTACTTTCCCCAGCAGCTGTCATTGGGTATTGCTTCTGAGAGTTGGAGGCTCACAGAGATGACTGAGCCAGGAAGATAAATATTATTTTATCTGAATTACAATACATTATATTGAAAACATATCATACATTTTCACAGCTTGGAGAAGAGATTTTGGAAAGTATCATCTGTTGGATGCAATGTATATTTTTGCATAGATTTTAAAACTAGCTATCATACATGTAGATTCCAAAATAATGCTTACTTGCATACCGTACTGACAGAAAAATAACACAGTGACACTGGCCAGAAAGAAAATCAGCTTGCTACCTGCCTGTGTAATTATTCTTTAATCATCAGGTAGGATAAAGTTTCCTCAATAAGGAATTATTAACTTTTATATGGGATAAGCAGCTTAAATTATAACTAGTATCTGTGACTATCAAATCCTCATTTTTATAAAGCATGTGGTGAATATTTTGGAAGTCCAGTTGCCATGTCAACCAGCAGATATCTACTCAATTAACTCAATAAAAATTGTCATGTATTTATCTGTAGCAAGATAGACGTACAATCTGAAGATTAAACACTGCTTTTCTTTCATGAGGAGTGAGAAGTCTGCTTTAACCCAACAGTGTAACTTCAAATTTTAAGATTATTGTAAGTAGTTATGATGTTTAAGGGAAAAAAAAATGTATTTCAAAATCTGTTTTGAGGTTCTGAGGTCAATAAAAAGTAGAAAAAGGAACATTTTCATAGTCTAGTCATATGAATGTCCATCAGAATTTTCTTCTAAGCATACGCTGTATTGGTTATGAGCCTGATGTAGACAATCAGCTTTGCTCTGCAATCACTTCAGAAAATGTTGCACTTGCTTTTATTAAATATAGATAGGAACCTTTATGTCTGTTATAATCAGCCAAAACAAGAGCATGCTTGAAACCGTAAAGCTCTTAGCATGAAAATTTCACCAGTTTTAGATGACAGAACTGAAGGGTACATTTTCTTGTTTTCACGTACACCATGTAAGTAAAAAAAGTCAAGATATCTTTTCTGTACTCTGTCAGCATGCCACAATAGAGTAGACATGGTAGAAACAGTGACTAATGTGTGTTATTTAACAAAGCTAAAATTCTGCTTGGCTTTTGCTCCAAATTCCAAATGTAGTGCCTCTGTTTTGTAACCAACCAAGGGAGTGTGGGAACATTGTACTGGTTAGATCTATCCACCAAATACAGCATGTGATCTTTTAATTTGTGTATGCTTACTTCACAGGGTCCTTATTGTGAGGATCACAACGTGTATTTTAAAGACAGAACATTAAATAACATTGTTATTTACCAGTAAATTTACCAGTAAATAACATTTATAGATTTTGATTGCAGAGTATACAACTATCTTTACATCATGTAAGAATAATTAAAAAAAAAAAAAAAAAAAAAAAAAAAAAACGCATCAGGTGTTTTTAAATGAAATCTATCCCCCCACGACATGTCAAAATACTGGTTGAATAGCACTATGTCGATTATCTGCTCTCTCTGGTTCAGGTTGCTTTTTGAGACTTGGGTTTCATATCTCCCTCTCAACTTTCTTTCATGGAAAGCAAGCCAGTTTTTGTCCTGGCTGGGAAGGTGTGTTCAACTTTCATCTCTGTCTGAAGGGATTAGAGCTTACATCTTATAAATCCTGGAAGAATGCTTAGTGTGTTAGAATGCTTAGTTAGAATGGCTGATAAGTGTTGATAGGAGTCATGCTTCCGGGTATTCAGGGAGGAAATCCAAGATCTTTAATGGCAAACAGTGCACCTACTCACTCCAGAAGCCTTAGGAGTCAGACTGAAGGTGGGTGGAACACTTGAGGATCAGTTTTGGCAATATGTATGCGGAACAGGAGCTTGGCAGCATTTAAGTGCTTAACGTTTAGGTAGTCAGCTTAGATTGAGAAATGTACTTAACAAAATGAAACCTGGTGGAATATTCAATTATCATTGCAAATCGATCAGTGCAAATTTTGCTTTACTGCACTGAAATCATGGGAACTATTACACATATTTGTATTACTCAGTGTAAGCAAATCAAAACAGACCCTTACCTCAGTTTCTGTATGCATAAAAAGACAGCATACTGTTTACATATCTACTTCCTATCTCAGTTAATATTTCCATCGTGCTTTGAGTCTGTATAAATTAATTAAAATATATATATATATATATTCCTGAGAACTGGAATGAGGTTGTCTATGATGTTAATTTGTCCTCGGCGTGTTTCTGGCCCATGCTAGACATCCCTTTCTGAGATTCATGTGGAAGTTACCTCATAAAATGGATTGATGCACAGTTTTTGATATGTCCAGGCTTTTCAGGAGGAAGAAAGCTACGTACACCTTATCATTCAGCGACTCACAAGTTGTTCCATGGCAGCTGGTCTCCATGCCAGACATGACGGACATGCCTTGGTACGTCTAAAATACGAGGAATGATGTGGTCTTGTGAGCTGAATGGTGCAAAGCTGCTTGGTGCATACTTGAAATGCAAGATACTTCTTACTTATGGTACCGTGACCAAAAATCCCACAGAAAGTGTAGTTTTAAGCCAGGGGAGAATCTTTCATAGAATCACAGCATGGCTTGGGTTTGAACGGACCTTTAGGATCATTTAGTTCCAACCCCTCTGCCATGTGCAGGGATGCCACCCACTAGATCAAGTTGCCCAGGGACTTGTCCAACCTGTCCTTGGACACCTCCAGAGATGCGGCATTGACAACTTCTCTGGGCAACCACTGCCAGTGCCTCACCACCCTCTGAGTGAAGGATTTCCTCCTAACCTTTAATCTAAATCTCCCCTCTTTTAGTTTAAAACTATTCCCCCTTGTACTGTCATTACCTGACTGAGCAAAGAGTCACCCTCCATCCTTTTTATAAGCCCCCTTTAAGTACTGAAAAGCCGCAATGAGGTCTCCCCGGAGCCTTCTCTTCTCCAGGCTGAACATCCCCAGCTCCCTCAGCCATTCTTCACAGGAGAGGCGCTCCAGCCCCTTGATTACCTTCATGGCCCTCTTTCAGACTGCTCTGACAGCCCCACATCCTTCTCGTGCTGAGGGCATCGAGCTGACTCCAAACCTTCCTTTTCCCGACGAAGGAGACGAAGGACTCCTTGAAACACAACAGCACAACACCTGCCTGCGCGCTGCCTGCCCAGCTTTCCCCCTCGCCATCCTCCACTGGGTGACCCCAGCGCACAACCAGAGTCAATATTTGGCGTGACTCGGCGTGCAAACACAACCACGCCACGCCAAGCCAATGCCAAGCGCCGAACCGCTCTGCCGAGCGCCGAGGCAGCGCAGCGCCCAGCCGAGGGCAGGCTCCTGGACTCCTTTCCGAGCCGCTCTTGCTCGGTCTTGCCTCTGGGTGTCTTAAGCACGCCGCGGACGGCGGCCACGGCCGGGACACGGCGCTGGGGGGGAGCCGGGGGGCTCCCCCCTCTCCTCCCCTCCCCTCCCCTCCCCGCCCCGCCGTTCCGGGCCCCTCAGCGCCCGGTCCCTCAGGGCGGCCCCGCTCCCGCCCCGACCCCGTCTTGGAAAGCGCTGCCTCCGCGCCGTCCAACTTTATATTTGCCTTTATTTTCCTCCCCCGGCTGCCAAGGGAGAGGTTTATACACACAATCAGAGCAAATAGAAGGAGTTCAGCCGGATCGCGTTTCACCGGCAGCCCCCCTTCCGAGGGGGCTTAACGGGGGGGAGAAGGAGCGAGCGGGGAGCGGCGGTGGCACGGCGGGACGGCTCCGGCTCCTACCGGGAGCTGCCTTCCTCCCTCCTCCCTCCTCCTCCTCCTCCTCGTCAGCCCACCCGGCTCTCCGGGGAGCGCTTCCAGGCAGCGCCGGCAGCCCCGGGAAGCCGCCGGGGGCTGCCCCTGCCCAGAAGAGGCGACGCCGCACCGCCCGGACCCTCCCGCGGCCACCGCTCCGCCGCCCTTCCCGCTCGGCGGCGGCAGAAAGCAGCCGGCCCCCGGCCCCTTCCCCGCCCCAACACCGCCCCTTCCCCGCCGCCGCCCGAGCCTCAGGTTCCCGGTAAACCGGGGCCGGGGACCCGCCCGGAGGGAGCCGCGCCAGGGCCATGAATATTTCAGCGCCTCCTCAGCGCGTTTCTAATTAAAGGCTGGGGCCCTGCGCTCCCCCCCCACCCCCCCACACACACCCTCCCCTTTCCCCGTCTGCCCTCCTCCCGCTCACACACACACACACACACTTGGGACCGGCTCCTTACGTCGGAGCGAGGAGAGGAGCGACCGAGCCCTGCCCGGGGGAGGGACGGGGGGGACCGGGGAGGGGGGGGAGAGAAAGGGGAGGGGGGGTGGGGGGGGGCTGTGCAGCAGCGACGCTCCCGAGGTTGCCAAGTGGACTTTTATTGTTTTCCACCCACTTCCAAGTCGATACTATCTGCCGTCTCATGTCCATCCTATAGCCTATATAAGCGGCTGCGCCGGCGATGGAGTAGGTGGCGAAGGGACGGGAGGGGGGCGGGCGGGCCGGCCGCCGACAACTCGGACTGTTCTGCTGCAGCTGCTGCTCCTACTGCTCCTACTGCTCCTGCTGCTCCTACTGCTCCTACTGCTGCTGTCCCTGCTGCTGCTGCCGCTGCCCGGGGAGAGCGGCCCCCGCGGGGAAGACAGCTCGCCTTGCGGCACGGAGAGCCAGGTAACCCGGCCAGCAAGGGGCCGGCCGCCTCCCTCCTCCTCCTCCTTCTCCTCCTCCTCCTGCTCCTTCTCCCCGTCCCGGAGCGCTGGCCCGGCCGGGAAAGTTGGCACGGGACAGAGAGGGGCGCCACGCGTGGGGCAGCCCTTGTGCCTGCGGGGTGCGCCCGGCCAGGGTGGAAAACTTCGGGGAAAGTTGGGCACCGCTCGGTTTGTCCCGGCTCGGCGGGGCTGCTCTGCCCCAGCAGACACCAAGCAGAGCGGGCTCGGTGTCCCGGCCCCCCCTCCGTGTTTCCCATTTCACCCCCCGTGTGCCTCCCCACCTGCAACCCACCCCCGTTTTTCTCTTGCAGCGGAATAGGAAGCCTCCCCCGCCGGCAGCGGATCGTTCCTCTTCATCTGCTCGCTCGCCCTTCGGGTCAGGCTGCGATGAGCGGACTGAGGTCTCCTGGGCTGCTGGGGCTGGTGCTCTTAATGCTCTCGGCGGGATATTGCAAAGAGAAGAGCGACTCCGCGGATCTGAAGGACAGGCAAAGCCTCTTAAATCTTATCATGGAGATCATTCAGGAACTGAAGAGGTACCACCTGGAGAAGGACAGTGGGGTGCAGTACTTCTCCAAACACGACTATAACTTAGACCGAAGGGAAGTGGCAGACTACGGAGGGTACCAGGATGAGCAGAGAGTTGGTAAGTCACAGCCCCTGACTAAGGAGAGCTTTCTCCTTCTGTAGGGTGCCTTGGGGAATCAGACATCACATCAGGTTACTAATTTTGTATCGAGGATCAACCACCCAAAATACCTGCAGACTCTCTCTGGTATCAAAAACTGACGCAGGCGGCAAATTTGGAATAGAAAAACTCCATTCGCATCTCAGAGCCTCTTACTGTCTGGATAATGTACTCAGCTGAAAGTCTGACTTCCTGTGTGTTGGCTTTGAACAAAATCTATTAACAAGGGAAAGCAGTGAAATGGGCTGAGATCAAAGAAATAAGGGATGAAAATGCTCTTTCTCCTGGAAGTTTACCATTTTTTAAAATGTGCCTAGTTTTAAGTGTTTCTTGGAAATGACCCTAGTGGTAATTCCCCTGCAGGACTCTACTATGCCCATGCTCTTAGAGATATCGAGAAGTCTGTCCTAGAGCTCAGCTTCATTAAACTTTTCACCCTGCTTATTAGTGCTGCCTTTTGTATTCTGGAGGGTAGCACCTTTGAAAAATACTAGGGAACTGATATAGAGCACTACTCTGTCACCACACAAGCTATGCATGCTCCGAGTCACTCCTTCAGTCATCATTCTACTCATCTGTAACCTCCAGTGAAAGCCCCCATGTGTTTGTAAGATGCTCGGGGCTGGATGTTCAGAGCAGTCATACCAAGCCACGCAGTGATGGATAGCTACAGCTCAGTTTCATGATGTGCCTCTGTGCATCCTGCTGAAAGTTGACTTGACTTCTCCTGCTGCCATGTCTCATTTAGTGTTTGCTGTCACTCCCAAGCCCCTGCAGCGCTGCTGCCACTCCTCTTACCCCTCCTACTGAAAGGCACTTTCTGAATAATTTCCAGCAGATGCACTCACCTTCTTCCAATCTGGCTTTCATTTTCCTAGCATGCTATTTATTTTGCCTTTATTGATCTCATAAAGTTCCGTTGTACCTTTACTTCAGTCATTCATATTCAAATATCCTCATGATTTGCATTTGTTGATGATTGTCATGAAAATGTTACTTCCCCATCTAGACGATTAATGAATATACAGAGGAAGACAATTTTGTTCCATTTAAGCTCAGCACAGTGAGAACATTTTGTTTTGTAAATGTTGAAAAGTTAAAGAGGCCAGATGAAGCAGTGAACTCTAATCCGCACAACTCTAAATCTCAGCAAGAAACATTGGCATGGTTCTTGGCCATCCAACATCAGCACACTGGTGCAAAACATCTGGCTTGTATTCATCAGTTATCTATGTAAACATAAAACCACTTCAGAGCAGAATAGTTGGTACTGGTGTCATTGACTCCTAAGCAGGATTTTACATTTTATTCTTATAATGGAGTTATTCCCAGAAACTCTGAAAAGGAACTACTGCTTAAAGTTCTTCCTCTCACTTTTGGCATCACTTTCCCAGTGAGCCTGTCCCCTGGGAAATTTCTGAGTGAAGCATGTGTGTTTTTAATGCTCTTCGTGACATAATTAGGTCAAATACGATAAGGTCAATTTTACTTACACCGACTAAAGTTAGAAGTAAATGAAGAATGACTTTCGAGAAGTGTCTAACCTCAAAAGTGAATCAGATCTGGATGGAAATGTTCTCTGCTTTATATCTGATAAGAGGTGCCAGGGGAATGAAAAAGGCTGCTCAGGCATTTATGGTCAAATAAATAAAGCACCATGTAGTGTATCACACACAATCAGCACTAGGCTATCAGCATAGAGTTCGTAACGGAAAGCAATCAAAGATAGCTGTAAATCAGGAAGACACAAGGAAGGGTTAGGGCTAAAATGGATTTCAGTAAACCAGTTTCATTTTGCCATCTGCTGAACACAAAACGCGAGGTGGTAAACCACAAATATAGGGAGCCAGAAGAGAGCAATTTGCTTGGGATCATTTCCTGTGAATTTTATTTACTGCCAGAGGGGAAAAAAAAATATTCCTGTAAGTAGATCAATCCAGTCTCATGATTATAGCAGGACAGTGCTTGTACAAACATACCTCTGACAAAAGAATGGATATGGTTGCGTAAGAGAATTAGAAGGCACAAAACCAAACTTGAATGTATCTTTGGATCTTTACCAGCAGTGGGAGGAGCCTTTTCCAAGCAACTATACACTAAAATGTTGTAAAGAATTTAAATCTAGGTAAACGTGACAATATAATTTATAGAGAGCTAAAATCTGATTCCTAGTTATCAGACAACATCATTTATAACTGCACACCTAAGAGACACTACTTGTTTCATCCTCACAGTGTGTTTCATGGTGCATTTTACAGTGGCTTCATATGTAAAACAAGAGCTTGCAATTTGGCCTATTGTATGCAAATGAGTTCTGAGCACTCTGCATCTGTCAGGAGGTAGCAGTGATGTTTGCTGGTCAGAATTTATTCATTTTTCTCATGCTGTGCTTGGCAAGCACAGTTCCTACAGCAGAGTGACTATGCTTTTTTTCTGTCCAACAGAAATAGTTCCCAGAGATCTGAGGATGAAAGACAAGTTTTTAAAGCACTTAACAGGTACGTCTTAACTTTGTCTTGGTATCCATTATGTCGCGTACATACCATAAACTGTATTTTTTCCTGTAAGCTGCACTGACTCTTATTTTTCCCTTGTATTTCAGGTCCACTCTACTTTAGCCCAAAATGTAGTAAACACTTTCATCGGCTTTATCACAATACAAGGGACTGCACCATCCCAGCATGTAAGTGCCAAAACCAAAGGCTAACTTTCATAAAAGAACAGAAAACTCTGAAGTAGAGTAGTTCTGTGGGATACCTGCTGTGATACAATGTTAGAGTATACTTCTTGCAGTGCAGAATCTGTAGTGCTCTGCAGCCTGTTTGCTAAAACTGCCTTAGCATTACAGTGGGGGAAATGGCAACATTTTCACTGCAAAGAGACTGCGTAGAATGACTGTAAACACTGGTTACTTAGTTATTTATGCATGTGCCTTGTTTGTTCGAAGTCAAAGGTGTTTTTCATAGAAGCATGTGACTCCTTTCCCAAACCTATCATACCTAACTTATAGTGCTGCAAATTCAAAATAGGATCAGAAATTCAGCTGGGGCTATTTCCTGTTCATTATTTATGGAAAACATATAATAGCTGGCACAGGTTGTCCAGAGTGGCTGTGGAGTCTCCCTCCTTGGAGATCTCCATAAGACTCCTGGACATAGTCCTGGGTGGCCCTGCTTGAGTAGGGGTTGGACCAGATGCCTCCAAAGGTCCCTTCCTACCTCAGCCATTCTGTGATTCTGTAACATATCTTGAAGGCATTACACATTTTGAAAGTTCAGCTACCAATCTACCAGTCATGCTGAAAGTGAACCTTTGCAATCTTTCTCTTTAGTAAATCACAAAAAAATGTAATGTTTCTGAGGCTTAATGAACACAAACAACCAGCTGAGGGACACAAGTAACAAAATTCATATTATGTTATCTCATAATATGGCAGCAAATATATATATATATACATATATTTTAATCTGAAATCGACATTTATCACTCAGGAGATATGATTCCAGACTCATACCAAGGTGGACCTGTTGAGTAAGAAGATGCTATTTTAGTGCAGCTTTTCAGAATGGAAGCACACTTTATTTTACTTTTCTGAGGTCAACCAGTTGGGTCAGTAGCAGAGCTGGGAATAGAAACAGGAGTTCCTGATTCCAAGTTTCAAGTATTAATAAATATTTCAGCCAAATATATTTTAAAGGCATATTTGGTAAGACCTGCAGACTTTCTTCATATTCATTAAATCGTCATATTAGGACTACCTTGGAGATAAAGACTTTTGGATAATGGCTAACCAGATCACGCTCAGTTTACATGGATGGTGATGGAGCTCTTAATAAGAAGGGTGCCTTAAATAAGCAAATGGACATATTACCTTTTTCATAAGAATCACATCAAAAACATCATTTGACTCAGCACTAACCAAGTGCTTCAAGCTGTGAAGCTAAAACCTAGTTGGCCTCTAAGTCCTTGTCCTTCTGACAGGTGACATACCCACCAGCATAATGCCTGGATAATGGAGGATAATTTGTACAAATGGAAATTATAGCATACCTATGCTGTGAGTTAAAGACTGTTAACATGGCATCTCTAGGAAACATAAGATGTTTCTTAGAAATAATGCCTAAGAAAATAAACATCAGTCACTGGACTGGACTGAGTAGCATCTTCTTAAAGTAACTTTCTTCTACTAACATGAAATAAAAAACCTCCTTTAATTCTACATGCACAATATAATGTTACTTTTTGATAATATCCTGATTTCAGTTTAAACTTACTTATTATATGCTCTAAATTATGTTCTAAACTACTGTTCATTCTACTGACATTTTATGTCATTCAAAGGCAAGACAATAAAGAAATTAAAAGCATCTGTGATGCTGCCACAAGGTGGGAACAAGTATAAACGTATTTTGTTGGCATATCTTCTTAGTAGCACAGACACCTAAGAGCTACTTTAGTCTCCTGTCTGTATGTGACCAACTTTCACATAATTTGCTTTCCATTGGCCATGTTAAAAAAAAAGGGGGGGGGGGAGTCAAAAAACCAATTTGATTAATTTTGCAGATTTGCATTGGTTCTATTCATCATTACACAGCTCCTTATTATTAATGCATCTAAATAAATAAATAAATAAATAAGGTACCTAAAACAAGAACTACCAACAATAGATCTACCATGAAAAAAAAAATAAATTACCAGTTTCAAGATGGAACTTGATACAGTTATGAATGAATTTATAATATGTGGCTGCCAATGGGCAACGTTCCTATGAATATAGAAAAAAACACCAACAAATACAGGTGATGTTACTCTACACTGATATAACACAATGTATACAGTATGTTTCTATCAGAGACCTTATTTGTCTAGTTTTACAATTTTTCCAGGAAGAAAAGTTAACGTAAAATATTGCAGCTCCCCAATAAGTTGACACTTGCTCACTGATGGCTGGAATTCCAAGATGGATGAGCACTACTTATTCATCCTCTAGCATGGAAATACTACACTCACATATTTAGACCCCGACATATAAGCACATACACAGATGGGTAAATGTTTATACATACATACACTTGGAATACCTGTAAGCACATTCATGCTATTTATTTATAGATATTATGCATGCAGAAATACCATGCATACAATTATATGTGCCTTTAGACAATTTTGTGCGCCTTTCGACATGGCTCTCATTATGGACTTTTTACACACTACTTTTCTAAGTCAAAGGAACTGACTTCTATATCGTTGCAAACTAAGGTGTTCATTAAACTTAATCGTGACAATAATTTGCATGCCGTTATCAATTTTGATTTTTAAAAGCAAAAGTTTTTTGCTTCACTAATGTTTATATTTATGCTGTTGTTTTTTTTTTTCCTAACAGACTACAAAAGATGTGCCAGGCTTCTTACTCGGTTGGCAGTAAGCCCAATGTGCATGGAAGGATAAGGTAAGCTTTTTGACAGTAACAATGACATTCTACTGCATAGCAAAGCTATGGCTTTTGTTTCATACATGAAAACTCATAATAAAAATAGTTTTTTGGCTAAGATATTCCTCTTTCATAGTATTTGGAGTAACTGGCTTAATCTGGCAAGTAGTGGCAATAAATAAAGGCTACCCCCTACTGGAAGTCATTATATAAAAGTCCATGTGCATCAGCTGTGAATTAGAATTATACATAGAATTATACAGTTACCAGCTAGTGAATTTGTTGTTATAGAACAAAAGACAACAGCTGTAGCTTATTTTTTTCAATAGTTGACTCAGTATACAATTGTTTATATTGGTAGTGGCAGCCCTTTTATGTGTGCAGCTGTAGATCTCTGGTGTACATTTCAGTATAAGTTAATATACACGTAGCTACACACATGACAGCTTTATACATGCAGATAGGTTGCAGGTGCTTTTATGGTACTTAAAATGTATTAGTAGCATTGACAAACTAACTTTAAGCTGTCCAGATTTCTAGGGATTTTCATTGTGTACACTATGTCTATGTACACTTCTATGTCTGTGGGTTATTCCCTCCCTTTTTGCTTAGATGTACCTCTAATTCCTAGAAGTACTTTGGGAATCTCAGCATAAACAAACAAAAAAAAAAGTATTTCCAAACTATCTGTATTTCTAGAAAACTACTTGTAAGAATACAAAAAAAATAATTTAAATTCTGTCCTCAGCCTTTACCTGAGACAGAAATGTGAACCTCTGACAAAGGAGTAAGCAAAGGAGTAAGCCATAAGTAATAACCCATATGGACATTTCAGTAACAAGTGCTATCAAAGGCATTTTAACTCTGTGCCAAGATACACATTTTGGGGGGGGGGGGGAAGCATTAAGGTTTAAGCATCTTATTTGACTTTTTAAAGCATGGAAACTGTTTTGCATGGCATTCTCACAAGCAAGCTAGTGATATGTGATCAAAACACATGCAAAAATGGTTGGCAAATATTGAAGTTATTAGTGCTTCAGTGCCAAACTGAAAACTTGTATTGAGCATAGTCACACAGCTACATTATGGGTATGGTATTGGTCAATACTTTCATTAATTTGCATGGTAGAAGTCAGTACATTTATGGTGTAGGAGAGGCAACCATGAGGGAGTACATCACTGAAATTTAAAATAATCTTGAAAATGTAGCTGAATAGTCTAAAAACAGGATAAAACATAAGGGGAAAGCAGAATTATGAAGCCATGTAGGAGTAATATATATGCAGAAATATACGGCAAGCTGTGAAATGCTAGATAGGTAGTTCTGTAGAAAGTGCAGGAATTATGGTAGACTCATGTTTAGTTTGTGATCCACTATGTCACACTTGAAAAAAAGACAAACTGGAATTTATAAATAGAAACATTGTTTATAAAACGTGAAATAACCACTGTTGCTGGTAGGGCCTCATTTAGAATACAGCATTTAATTGAGGACCCCACACTTGAAGCCATATGGGTGTTTCTTGGTTGCTCTGAAGAACAGCAAAATGGATGACTAAAGAAAACACAATTTACAAGAACTGAAAGGAATTAGGATTATTTAGTCTAAAGGACAGATGAGTATGGGAAAACACAACCAAGCTACTTTACTTCATAAAAGGTGGCCACAAGCCATTCTCTTTATCCACTGTGGATAAATAAGATTTACTTTGTTTAAATTACAACGATAGGACTCCAACTAGATGTTACAAAAGACTTTTCTAACAGCCAGGGCAGAGATCATGTATTAAATCATTAGATACCATTCAGGATTCTGACTTTATACTAAACTCCTCAACGTACTTTTAAGTATTTTCTGCCAAGACTTCCTAAAATAGACCTAGACTAGCCCAGCTTGAAGTCAAAAAGTTTCTAAGGTCCATTGACTGTTACATTACTTGATGTCATCAATTGAAATACGCAACCATCCAGAGGAATCTTTTATTCATACACCTTGTGTTCAGAGATGGAATCATGGAAACAACTGCAGTAAGACAAACAAAAGCTAGTAAATAAGTAAATCCTCTGATCTAATTAAGAGGAATTCCAGGATTTAACCTTTCAATTCAAAGAAAGCAAGGAATGAATTTGATAATGATTTGATAATGATATTCACCTGTGAAAGGTAGGTGAGTAGTGTATTACCAATACTAATACACCAGAGTTGGGAGATCTTTTCTCTCTTTCCTTCAAAAATTTTATCTATCATTGTACCTTATCACAAAAGCACAAACTTGTAAATATGAAGGAACAGTGACTAAAGTAGTTCTCATCACAAGCTAGTAGTCTATTAAAAAAAAAAATCCATCTTATTTTGCCAAAGAACTCCTTAGCTCAACTAACTGGCATGTCTGAAGGTCTCCACAAGCCAAAGGTACAAACCATTAACAGTATCTGCACTCGTAAGCACCATTTACTAAAAGAATAGCCTTTCCTCCTACACCACATATGCCTTGAGATCCCCACTAAAGTCCCCATAAAATTAAGCATCTTTCCTACCCAAACCTTTTCCAGTGGATCAGATCAATTTTGTGTGGGTAAGACATCCTCACACAGAGAAGTACAATGCAGACTTTGTTTTCATCATTGCATGGACAGCAGTAGAAAAATGTAGGTTTTTGATTTTTTTTTCCAGTTATCAGTCCATTTTTTTTTCTCCCCAGAGCAGATAATTATCATTGTCCAAGGTCTTTTCAATGGATTTTAAAGTTTTGAGCATAGTACCAGCTGTGCATGGTAAAACAAAATTTCAAAACCATTTCTTGCTTAAGATGGCTCTCCAGTATAAGGTTTTTGTTTTGTTATGTTTTTTTTTTTTTTTTTTTTTTTTTTTTTTTTTTTTTTTAATAGCCTGGCAATAGGTAAACATTTCTGGTTTCTGCTATAAAGCTACCAGTTTATATCAATTCTAAAGCTTAGACTAATTCTGGAATAGTAGAGAACAAAAATTTATTGTGATACATGTACTACAAAAGTGAATACTTTCTAGTGATTTCCCCCAAAATCCTGAATTCACAAGCAGTATTTGACAGTTTATATTAACCGTAATGACAAATACATTTAAAAAATGTTTTAAAAGTACGACACATTTCATGTTGTTGTTCTACTCTCTCCCAACTTCTACTGAGAGTTATATAGAAATGCTGTCAAGATAAAATCTTAAGTAAGATATCACCCAGGGATTATTCATCGAGGAAAGAAAAACACCATACTTGTGCTTTTTCCTTACTTATTTTAATAGTCTTACTGCCTATGAAGTATGTTAAATATTTAAAAATAATGGAACCATGAATATGCATTGCTTTTATTTAACAAAACCCTTGAATTTATGCTGAAGCTAAATACACTACTAACTGGAGACCATATGCCAAGAATGATAAGGAATAAAAATTTAGGTTAGAGATTTACCATGTTTTCTTCAAAATATATCCACAGATAGGGTTCAGCAAAAATAGTGTATCTTTTTATTTCAAAAATGTAAGAAGATTTCATTGTTCTTGTTAGTTTTTAATCTTGCATTCAGATATGGAGTCCCACTCATTTTTATACCCCAGAATTTGTTGTCGCCAACTATGGTGGTATATTGGATCTATCAGTGATCTGAGTCAATACAAAAAATCCTGTATCATAAGCTAGTAGAAGACATTCTTAGTTGTTAATGCCTACCTTTTTGTTCCAACAGAATTAGACTTTCTATTTTGCTCAACTTTGTTGAAGGCTTATCATTGGGCTGGGCTATAAGAAGAATAATTGCTGTTTGATATTTTGGCAACTGGTAGTTTGGCACATTTTTAAGATCCATGGACATCTGCCTATGATTAGAGATTAATGTGGGAGGAAAAGAAGTAAAAGAACAAAAAAGGGTAGATTTATTTTTGATTTGTTCTGACAATGAGTTTTGGACTATCACAGTTTAAAACACAATTTTTAAACTTGGTCCTAATATCAAACAAGAAAATAGGATATGAAAGCAGGAATTGGGCATCTATTATCACAGTGCATACTTAAGCCAGGTGTAGAGGGGTAGGTGTGTTAATTACAATGTGTCTTGTGAGGCATTCATTTTTCTATTTTTTTGTACTTGTAACTAGGATCCCTTTTCTGTCTCCTTTTTAGAGTGTAATTTCAAATTTGCTTCCCCCAGACATTTGAGCAGTGCAGGGGCAATTTTACATGTTCAGACAGCATCAGTCAATCCAGAATAGCATGTCTATATTAACACAGCATTCAGTAGTCCCTTTCTCTAACAGACAACCCAGGCCATCTTTCCAGCTTGCCACTAGTGCCAGCTCTGACTAGTTTTATTCTGCAACACTTTTCCTTCCTCTGTTCAACACAACTATCCCAGTCTATCTTCCATATTATTTGTTCTCTCCTTCAGACTCATTTTTCTCCAGCTTCCCTAACAGCTCCTATACTTCTTGTTTTCTTTGCCCCACCCCATGCAGGTACACCCAACACCCATTGTCCAAAATGAAGGTTAATGAATGTCAGGAACAAGATTTCTGAGTATTCACCTAAAGTTCCCACTGAATATCTTTTACAGTTGTTGTGACAAACAGTGATTCAGCTGGAAATCTAGCCTCCCTGGCACCACTTGTCACAATCATGTTGGCTTCAGTCAGATTTTACAATTTTTATTTGAAAACCACAGGTGCTACTGTTGGGACCCTCCCTTTTCCATCAGTAGGTTTGCTACAGACCAGTAGTGATCTCACAATATATTCTTAAAACTTCCTGGTACAATAAGGATCTAACTATACAAGTATTTATCTTTATGTATATAAATAAATACTTGTATTTATCTTTATGTAAACTTTTTTTTTGAGTTTCTGCAGTTATTTCAAATGAAGATAAAACTAGTGATACAATGTTGAACTAGTAAATACATGATTAGTGCAAGTAGTAGGGAGTCTCAGACTAGGTGAGGAAGGGAGCTTTAATACAAAAAGTACATGAAAAATCTACGTTATTTCTTCCCCAAAGGAAAAAAACACACATAACTAGCAATATTTAAAATAGAAGAACAATAGAATCAATGCTTCTTGTTTAATAAGGCCATAACAGGACAAGAATAAATACATATATATATGAAGGTCAAAGATTCTCTATAAAATTCCTAATAAGCTAAAGCATACTGATAACTTAAGTTTAATTTGAAAAATCTGTATAAACTTTTTAAGATGTGTTAACCATACCAGTAATGTACATTAAGAAATCTGAAAGGACAATATAAATTTGGAAATTTTAAATATAAATGGAGAAAACTGAAATACCACACAAGACATCCCATTCCCATAATCCACATTCTATACTAACTATTTCAAACAATCTTTAAACCAATATATTGTTTGGACTCTTAAGTTTTACTTCAAATGTTTTCTAACTGTAGAGCCTTTAATTGCTTTCTCTTAGTTTCTCATTCAGACTAAGACCGAGTGCACTCAAGAAATGTCAGACACTTTCATTTCTTAAAAGAAGCAAACATGGGATTAAGATGTGGGTTTTGCATGTAACCAAGTGAAAGCAGATCCTTTTTTTTCTAGAAAGCATACATTGACCCGTCGTATACAAGTTCTCACAACATATTCAATCATGTCAGCTTGGTCACACAAAATAGTCCCCAAGTTAACTCAGTTAAGACTTTATCAGAATCACTGCTCTGAATTAAATAGCCAGCGTAGATGGTTACTAGTGTGGTGTAATTCAGCTTTGTAATAGACAGTTCTGAGTTTTATCTACTAGGGGAACCTCTGTGGCTAGTACCAGATCTAACATTATCAGCTTTATCTTCCCTGTATGGATCTCTGAGATCTGATGTTCACATTGGAGCAGATGTCCACCTGGGCTGGGCTTTCACTGCTGGGAAACAAAAAGGAATTTCTGATGTTAGCATATGGAAATTCTGCTACAGAATCCTACTAGCGCAGTGTTTTTTAAAGTTTACATTGATATTTAAAACACTAACTTCCTCTCTTGGATAGCTTTTTCTTTGAATTTATCATCATGCACAGATAATGACTGGAACCAAATTTGGAAAGCTGTAATATGCCTTTGCAGTATCTTTCATTTGTGCTTTTTAAAACTGGAACAACTGTATCATTCAGATGGTTTCAGCTAACATTACTGCTTGTTGTGTTTTTTTTAAGGGGGGTGGGTGGGTGGGGTGTTTTTATTTCTTTTTCTTTTTTTTTTTTTTTTTCTCCCTTGTATTAACAAAGGAAAACAAATAATTGAATTAAAGAAAAAGAAATTGTATGACTGTCTACGTTCCCAGTAGATATTGCAGTCAAGTAGCATTCAGGATCTCCATTAAGAATACTACCTGCCATCCTTCAGCTAAATTTCAATTTTCCTAGACCAATGCATAACACAGACTATACAAAATTAAATAAAATAATAATAATAGTACAATAGATCAATTCATGATCAAAACCTAGGGTCTTTTCATGGGTACTGCAAATGTCAGGGATTTAGAGAACTGCAAACTACCTGAGCACTGAGAATCTAGGACCAACGGCGTTTGATCAGATAGCCGTTTGATCAGATAGCCATACAAAAGCAGGTATGGATGAGGCAACAAGTAAGCATACTATGCAAGTTCAACCACTGCCATTTTTTCCAGCCTCAGTAAACTGCATATTCCCATTACTATTAGTAATGAACAAACTATTTATTAAATTCTCTATTTTTAAATTGTCAGTTGTACCACACTGTAATCAGACTAAAAGCGTATTAGCTTTTAAATATCACTTTTCAGCTTAAATAAAGCACAGTATGGGTACACATACAGAAACTAAGCTAGATGAAAATGTAAGACTGAAAATTTTTATCAGTTTCCCCTCTAAAGCAAGGACATAAAAAAGTGTGCTATCTCCAAAGCTAAATTATATTAAGCTTGTCTGTAACATTATTACATTTCCTAACAGTTTTTAAAACATTGCAAAATTAAATATATGTTTAAATAATACTAACAAGTACTTCTGTATGCATCGATAGCTTGATTTCCAATGGGTTATGTCAAGTCTGACTTTGCATTCAAATGATTCTATTACAAATTATACTTAAGCAGTAGAAAATATAGAGAAACTCAAAATAGCAGAGAATTCACAGGATCATGGCAGAGAGATACATATGTTCAGATAAACGGGATGAAAGTTTTAACTATTAAAAATGACATAAGAAGCACTTTAATCCACTGCTGTTTTCCATCTTACACATGGATTTCTGACATTTACGAGGAACATTTATTCTGCATTTTTTCATTCAATAAAGACATTAAAAGGTTGTCTCAGAAACACACAAAGCTGGTTAGACACCACGTGCAGCATTGGATGGTCACCTGTATAGAAAATGCAGCTGTGGATAATGTCAACATACTCGGAAGTTACTGGAAAGAGGGGAAATTTCTAGATATGTACACAAAGAGATGGTTCTATTACATTTTCTCAGCTGGCTTAAAAGTGTGGGGAAAAGCGTTGCAGTAACTTTCACTGCTTGATTTGTGAATGAACCCTTCTAGACTAGACAATATATGTACATAAGCAGGGTAGAAACCTGTCATTTTGTATCAGTGACTTCCATACCAGTGTTACAGAAGTGGCTTTATTTTAATTCCAAGAACCTGCTCAGGGAGAGTTACTAGAACTGCCAGCAAATTGATCTGCTTCTTCTCAGTTTGATCCAGCTTCTACTCAGGTTGTGTGGCCTCACTGTTTGCAGGTCCCAGGGACAAGGGACAGGTCTTTCAAATCTTATCTTAACAGATTTATATTACTGGACATTGTACCAACAGCTTCCTGATATCAAGACACTAAGACAGAAATTTACAATCTGTTAATACCATACTTGATGTTTATTCACTTTTTGACCTCACTGTTACACTCGCAGGTACAGGCTAAACTTACCTACAAGCACATTTTGAGTAAGCAGAACTGTAGTATCCAAATCTCTTCGGTCTACCTAAAATGAACCAACACAAAAACAAGAATGACTTCCAAAGCTTCATCCTTGAGGAACAAAACAGTAATTTAGTACAGCTACATGCACTATTAGATCTTTATGAAGTCATCACTAAATTTGACATTTTTATTTACTTACTATTTTCAGTGTGCTAAATATATTCTTAAACACTTGTATGTGAGTATAAAAATGATGAAAGGCAATTTTCTTCTTTCTTTTAATCCACCAGATATTATTACCATGAAAAGAAAAACCAAGAACCAAGAGAAGTGCCTTGGAAACCAACAGGGAAATAGAACTTACTACCTTTATAACATATTCCATTGTGAACAAGAGATTTATTTTTGCAGATTGACAGACTACTTCCCATAATTCTTTTAACATGCATTTTGTAGGTTGTCAACAGTTGGCAGATTGACATTCTCTTTACAGTAGCATAACTGCCAGTAGTACATAATGCTCAATACTTAAAAAACACACTACAACTGATGTGTAATGCTGCCAAAAATTATGTAAACACAAATATTTCACCATGAAAATTGATGTTCTATTGCTTAATTCTACAATTTTAAGGAATGTTTGTTTGTATATCTAGAACTACTAAAGAACTGCTCCACAGTAGTTGTGGTCACTTGATATCCTTCATGCTTATGCAATTTTTTAAAAGTTTGGTTAAAACAGACTTGCATTGGGGTCACATTGTACCCTAGGAGTACAAATTGCATGACAAACAGAAATGTAATTCAAAGTAGACATATTTTTGGGGACAGTGGAGCATGGATTTTGTACACAAAACACAAGCTGCCATTAATTTACTTTATATAATAAATGTATAAAACATTCCAGCTAACGTGCAATATGTAAATACTGTAAATAACAGGCATAAGTAATAAAGTGTTTGGTATTAAGATGTCTTCAGTTTGCTTTCTGTTCACTGAACCCAGAATTTGAAAAACAGACGGAATTTTCAGGTAGTTACTGTCATTTATCCATACAAGCATCTTTCCAATGAGAGTTTGCTAGCATAAGAAAGGTACACCCACCTTGGCGAAGTCCTGTAATTTGGACATACTCTACGGACTTGGTAGGATGGCCATATCTGTGTGTTCCAGTCTCATGAAATGCCTGGCCCACAAGGCTGCTCCAATTCCAGACAGAATTCTAAATTTGAATCTTTTTTTTTTTTTGACAAATGGTTGTTTCAAAATAAATCAATCAATAAATCTGCAATCTATTCACAATACTGCAAAGAAATGATTATAATGAATGAGCCCAGTATTTTAGTTTTAACTTCTGAGGAGTCAGTGAACGCTCACTCAAGAAACCTTGTTAACATCTCCCTTTCTTCCACCGATCTGATATTAAGTCCAATTGTCAAAATAAAATGTCTCAAACAGGAAGAAAACCATTAAGCACAATTTGTAAATACACCTCAGAAAGTTTTATCTTAATAAATTGAAGCATTTAGCTTCAATTTTATCCCCAATTAAATCTTCAAAATGTAATCACAACACTGAATACCCTGTTCCCTCCCCACGAAGTTAGCAGACTTCTTGAAATTCACACTTATGAGCCTTCAGCATCTAGCTCTTTAGAAGAAAAAAAGATAAAACATTGGCGGAGAAGTACAAGACTCCGTTTTAGAACATGGCTGTATTTACTAAGGGAGAAGTATGTAGTTCTAATTTGATTATAGTCATCACTAAATGCCAAAGTTTCATTTCTCACTGGAATATGTGTATGCTGAAAACATGGAGTAAAGAACGTACTGCTACAGGATTCATTTAGCAGCTCACTTGCAGTAAACATGTCAGTGGAACTCTGTGCCTTTCTGTAGCTCCACTGACTGACATCAGATCAGAACATACTACTTAATAAGGGAATTTAAATTAGTATGATTATTTCAGTTTGCAGTAGGACACCTGAAATCTGGTTCAGTTGGAATTTTCTAGAAAAAATGTATTGTAAAGGGAAAACAGTAATTCATTTAATGGCTTAATAAATGAATATAAACAACTTAATTCCATGGAAGATGTTGGTTTTTTTGTTTGTTTGTTTTGTTTGTTTTTTTTTCCTCCTAGATTTAGCAGAAGTCAGCAGGTTTGACAAAAGATGCATTCAGTATAGCAAATTTTACTTATTTATTCTGGGTGTAGGCTTAACTGAAACAATCCAGGGGCTTAGTCATCTGTAGGATTAATACAAAAATATGTACCACACGTTCACTGTTTCTCTTGGAAGCATGGAATGGTACTATGCAGCTGGCCTTCTTGAAGGCAATTCCTGCTCTGTATTCTCATATTCTACAAATTTCTGTGCAATATCATGTTGCTCTCCTCCTCTTCCTCCAAAAGAAACCCAGCACAGATAAAATAAATAAATAAATCAGCTTTTATCCTCCCAGTGGAGCTGGTGAATTATTTAGCCGATAGATTACTTGCTGAAAACATAACTTGGGTCAAACCTGATACTTTACAATCCGAAGTGAATTTAACACAAATAATTTTGACTTAGTATCACTTTAGAGGAATTTTCCTAAGCCTAGTAAAGGTAAACAACCATACCCTTTTATCTCCTTTCTGTTATCCCAGCAGCCCAAAGATACAGAGTTAAGACTTAAATCTTTACTTCAATACATAGGAAACTACAGGTTCTACTTCAGGTCAGCCATGAGTGAGCACAAGCCATTATGTTCTCAATCATCTGAGTTAGTTTACTTTCACTAGAATATTTTAAATGATCTTTCTGGCAAGAATAACATTAGATTATGCCTAAATACTTCCACTTCTGAGGCTAGTGCATAAACCACATTTGAGGTGGTTTGTCCCTAACTGCTCATTTTCCCTCATTTATTTTATTAAAGCATTAATAAAAGAAATTGAAAAACATTTTATGTATATTATTTTTTGTCCCTGCAGTGAAACAGCTCTTAACTTGCAAATTCCTAACTTGTTCACCAAAAATCACAACCATTGTTAACCCAGTAATACACAAGATCCTGGTCTCTGTACTCAAGTGTTCTATCTACCACTTCGCTTTTTGTAAGCAGGTTCTTACGTTTTGTGTCCAACTGAAAGCTTACCACAAAACTGAAACCTCATTAACACAAATACTTCCCAGCTGTTTTACAGAATGAGTCCCAGGAAATGCAATCCCCACTTTGAAGGCTGCAGTATATGCACAGTGACACCAGGATCCCTCCCTCCCCAAGAGTAACACAGTCCTCTATGCAAATCCCTCTCCCAGAAGGAAAGGAGGTGACAAGTCTAGAGGCTATTCTATTAGTTTGGATGGCAGATGTAAGAATAACCACAACACAACTAAATAAATAACAAAGTAAATTTTACAGATAGAGTTTATAGAGCATGTGGTAATGCTAATTCATACTAGTATTAGCATTATTCTGAATAAAAAAAATATCAGTTATATTACATTTCTCAGTTATGTTTCTGCCTTAGGCAGAGATTGAATGTGATGTTCAGACAAACAGGCATGGATTTTTACAATGCATTCCGTTTTTGTCCAAGAGCAGAACTTTCTATTTACTGGCTTTCATACAGCTTCATATTGCATATTGTATTACATACAAGTGGTCTGTCTTCAGGTTGAACAACGCTTTTGACAAGCCATCCATTCTCCCGGGTAAATCTGAAAATATGGTCTGTCACTCATACAGAAACTGGGAAAATAGCAGGGATTTGAGTATTTTACTACTATGAGATACAAAATGTACACTTGATGTTTCATCTTTTAAGCTGACATGTTTTGTCCTAAAGTAAATGTTAACGTTGTATGTACTTACATCAGTGTACCAGGAGTTGGCCACAAGAAGATAGGAAGATGAACCAGAGAAGTCCTATTAACTTCAGTGACTATTTTTGAACTGATTACATCTTAACTAGTACAATCTATTAGCACAAAATGATTACTTCTTTGATAACTGAGCATTTAAAACTATATAACAGCCCATTTTCACAGAATCCTGACAAAAGGTTTTACTTGCTTGAGCTCTGAAATAATGCTAAGAGTCTATCAACAGTCAAAACCATGCCTGTCTTGTGGCAGGCAGTCCCTTTTTGTCCACCAGGCTCCAGGTGAAACAGCTTCATTCTAAAAGTTGTCTAGGGATACTAGGATAACATGCCTAAGTTAACACACATCAACTATCATTTCACAGTTTCCTGTTCGTTTAAATTAACTAATGGCACAATAAGAAGACCTAATTTTAGTTTGTATAGCACATAAAGAAGCAAGACATTACTTTTTACAGTGCTTCTGAGAAAGCACTGGAAGGGTTTACAGATAAATTTATTCTGAACAAGTACTTTGTTACATTAATGTGTGAGAAAATGGTTGATCATCTAATCCAACTTTAAAACTTCTCTATGTTTTTCTAATTAGATGACAGAAAAACTACAATAAAAAATTAAACTGAAAAAGTTTTCAACCTACAGAGGAGGCATAATTTTACAATTTAAATACATCAATCAAGTAAACCTTACATATTTCAGGAGAAGCTAATTATTTTATTCTAGAAACAAAATGATGAAGCATTAATGAGGCTTCTCCAAAAATGCTTTACAGCATCTAACACACTGCTCGTAAACAGTTTCAAAGTCCTTTTCATTCCCCTAGAAAAAAAAAAAAGAGGAAAAAGAATGTAAGTATACTAATACCATCTCAAACAAAAACATTTTGCAAGCTGGTTTTCTGTTGTCAGTAATGGCAAATAACTTGCATTAGGGAACAAGAACAGTACAAATACATGGTAATAGTTGTAGCATGTTTCCTCCCTAATTTGAGCTACCAGTGTTTCAGGAATTTCCATAGCTGAACTCTCTTTGTACTCAGGAGCCCTGGATGCTCTTTCCTTCATGATTTTTTTTTTTTTCCCCCATTCAATTTTGAAGCCCTTATAAGACTTATTTTTTTTTCTTCTTTACATTCACAGTATCCTGTCATGTTGAGTTTCACAGTTAAACAAAGCACCATGTGGAAACAAATACCTCTTTTTGTTTTGAACATGTCTCCTACAAACCCATTTGATGTTCTCTACTTCTTGTGTAACGAATAGCAATTCCTTACTAGTACCTTCTTCCATTAATACCAGTTTTAGAGAACCCCACTACATCTTTCTCCACTTCTCTGTCCTAAACTGAAGGATACTAACCTAATTGATTGCTCTTGGCTAATATTATTCAACATCTTTGACCACCCCCCCATATCTTTGTCTCTGTTTTTCCTAATTATGTTATCTTTGCAAGGACACTGACCATGGAGAGCTTCACTTAATATTCAAAACACAGGAGCATTATGAACTTAAATAATTTCTATAAGAATAAAGATGGTTTCCTTTCATATTTCAGTAGTTTATATTGGTTTGTTAATTCTTTAAAAAACAAAAAACATTTGGCTTTGCATATTATCAGATTAAACATTATAAGAAAACTGTGGGATCTAGCAAGGATTTTTAATCAAGCTAACCAGAGAATTTCTTACATAGTATGGATCTTCAATAATAAGTTGTTTCTGTGGATCATATGTCCCAAGTAGTTCAATTTTGGCCTTGCAGTCTTTAACCTGGTTGCTTTTCCTTTTCAGATCTCTGGAGAAAAAAAAAAAAAAAAAAGTAAATGTTATCAATTTCTCTTCAGAATTTGTTGGTATTAGATATTAATGTTTCTAGAGAACACAGGAAAATAATATCCTTCTGAACTCAGTTAATGCTGTTGACTTTCTATGCTGCTCCTTTTTTTTTTTTTTTAATTGAGTATCAAGGACATACGTAAATTTAGTTCAGAGTATAAGAAAACAGGCACTTAAGGCTTAACAGAAGCTTTTAGCAGTAAGTTTATCACCTTCTTCCTCAAATAATTCATTTAGTATTTTCAATGTCCACCTTTAGCTCACATTGAATAACAATAATGAAGATTATCTACATATTTTTTTCAAAATTGAGGAAGCTTCCTTCATGGGTTAAAAATTTTCTTAATTGGTATGTTGCAAGGTCTTTTGATGCTGCCTCTAACTCCTGTGAAGTCCTTCTACAGTGAGTTAGCAGAGAACAGTAAATTCATTAGATGTCTTCCCTTTGACATATTTTAACATTTTAGCAATCATCACATCTTTTACATTGCCTCCCATTAACAGAGCATATTTTTTTTGAACCAGTCTTTTCCCCATATACTTACAAACAGCCATCCATCACCCCAAATGCAGTTAAAATGCACCTCTCATCACCTTCAGATTAAAAGATGCTAAGTACCATGATTCTGACAAACAGCTGGAACATGTTAAGTTCTTTTAACTTATCTATATATCTCTATACCGAATCATCATTTTACTTACTCAGTGTTGAAAAAGTTTAAAGTGGTTTGCAATTGGTAATAAGAAATAATTCTCTGCAGAATATTCTTTCTAATAGTTAAGTACTGAGCAGGGCTTCTGAAAGCACAGACTGTATTTCTAAATTTCATACAGTCCTATGGATGAGATGCATATATCAAGTATAACATTCCCTTTAATAGAATGCAAAGTACACTACAACTGACAGTACTTTTTATAGTTCATAGGAAAAAAAAAAAACATACTTAGTCATAAGCATAATCAGTTTCAAGAACCTAATTTCTGATTTATTAATTCTAATTAATGAAGAAATTAATTTCATAGCTTTTAGATAGACAAAACAGAAGTGAGACTACAATACTGCTTTTCTATAAATAAAAGTCAGGACTCTATCAAGAAAGAAGTTATTGCTTGAATTTATAGATTTATTAAAAAAAAAAAAAAGAAAGAAATGAAAAGAAAGGCAGCCCTGTGCATGTTGACAACATTTTTATTTTTAGAGGACAAGAAGGATGTTTGAAGACCGTCATCTTCTACATCCACCCAATTACAGTCATTTGCTTCAAGTCTTTTGGCATACCACCTCATGAACAGGAGGGGGCCAAATGGCTCTGGTACTACAGAAAAAGAGATGTTCCTTATCTCCCTTTTCTGATATGACAGACACTCACTCCATCAGCACCTGGAACCAGCTACAAACATGTATTCCCGGGACAATGGCTGAATTAGGTTCACATTTAAGATGAAACTTAGAAATGTGGCAGTAGCGAAACCCCTAATTCTGTCATAGTTGTTATGTTTTGTCTGCTTTACAGCTCATATATAAATGAAAACTTACTTTGGTATTAACAATTTAAGAATGTGAATGAAACTACAGTAAGCAGTCACCTCTTCGCCTGACGCACTGCAATCAAGCCAAGTTTTAGTGCACGGCATCCATGAATAAAGGGCATAACAGAGGTCACTCAAAACATTCTGGAAAATTCAACAAATGATACTTCCTTCAGAAGAAAGGTTTTGGTTCTTAAAGTCTTTACGTGTTACTAATAGGGTTTTCTTTCTTTGTTTTATTAGGTTTACAGGTTATAGTCTTTAAAAACACTTAGACTTGCGATTATTAAAACTCTCTCCCTTAATCCTAATCATAAATACGTATGTAGTTAAGTAGAAATTTTGCTAATGACATCTAAATTATCTAGGCATCTACTTCACCTAATCTTTCTTAAGCTTAACTCATCTCAAAGATGCACTTAATTAAAACCATGGGAAACAGCAGCAAACAACAAGATTTCCCCCAGCTAACGACTTAAATTATTACTGAGCTTGCTATTTCTTGCTATTTTATATTGCTATATAAAAAGAGCGGGGGGAAGGGAGGCACACGCATTTAATCCCTTGCAGGTTTTTGGTGTCTTTTAGATCCTATGTAATCAGAAAACCAGATCACTTGGATCAAAAGACAGTGTCCTTGTTCTTAACTACACAGGCATCAGCTACACTTGTGTAACACAAAGCATACTAAACTTCCTTTTCCTTAATCTTGACTGGCATGTATAACACTAATTAAACACTGAATTTTAGCTCATTAAACATAAGAAATGAAGAATCCCTCTACTGCACTATCATCACAATACCCCCCAAAACAAGACAAGCTAAATAGTAAAACATGACATCTTCAAAGTGACTTGTGAGCTAGCACTACAAGCAATCCAAATTAATTTGTTCCATTTATTCATACATTACCTTAGATTGCTTTCATCCATGCAAAGTATATAATCAAAGCTCTGGAAATCATCTTTGGTAATCTAGAATTAAAAACATATGTTTTAGCCTACAAACTATGATTATAAAAAAGAGGAAAAAGTATTTTCAAGTTTCGCAGTTCTGATTTATTAAAAAAGACACATGAGGAGTGAAACTGCACATCCTTCATCAACTTGTACAATAGTTGAAGGTATTTTAAATCCGCCATGATTATTTATCCCTTTTTACAAGTTTTCACACGCAAAAGTGAATTAGCTATTTTACTATTTTAGTTAGTTATTTTATTATTTTGATAATCAGGAAAAATAAATGGAATCAAATCTATGAGTTCACATTAAAGACTGCATTTCACGCATATTCCTAGGTGTAGTATTGTAATGAAAAAACTTTGAAGGTTTCTTCAGTACAAGCTTTTCTGGCAGGTGTCTGGGAAAAATGGGCTAGAAAAATGAATAAGCAAGAGAACAGACATATTATCCTATAAGCTACTAATTTATAAAAATATTTACATATTTGAAAAAATTGCAAAGTGTTTATTTGTGTGTAAACAGCAAATTAAGTGCTACTGCATAATAGGGCATAAGAAAAGACTTTCAGAAATTATCACTAGACTAGGCCTTAAATGAAACATTTCACACCAAGAGAACTGGATGGGGGGGCAAAAGGGAGGAGCATTTGAAAAGAAAGGGTTAATAGTGAAAACTAATGCAGACTTGTTTATTACCACAGTAAAAATATTTGCTGTATTCATGCTGTGCCTTTGACCTACGAAAATATTTTTACAGTAGAAATAGCTCTGTTTTCCTGGCAACTCTAACAGAATCTCTACAAGCTTCTTCTGGTTGCTCTACACAGCTAAACACTGCCCCTGTGAAAATTAAGTTGGCATAGATTTATTTGTAGTGCAGACACAGACAAAAATTACAAAAAGCAAAAGATCAAAGGTAAAACACACCTGCCACACTTCCCAATCTTCGTATACTTTGAGAATGTGACAGTTACTACCCTATGAATCAGCACTAACACAAATCCAAATGCTGCCCTAATAACAGGATTATTACTGGTTAGCTTGTGCTCTTCCATAGATATGAGATACAAAAAGCACAATTCAGTAAATACTGATGAACTGAAGATATTCCTCAAAACTACAGAAAATTGGTATTTGTGGGGAAGGACCTGAACAGGCAGTAAAAATGAATGTACGTTTTTGAGAAGTTGTGGCAAACTCAAGCAGTCAACTACACAGAAAAAGTGTGTAGTATCCAAAAAAAATACATACAACCATTATTAAAGACCATCAATGGAGAAATACATGATCATTCCAATTTGTCTGTTAAGCATTTGCCTTTATTTTCAGAAGGGTAATCTCCTTTTCTCTGCCTTAAAAAAAAAAAAGAAAAAAAAAAGAGAGAGATGCAGTAGTCTTCAAATTTATCCAACTGTGAAACAATGTTTAATACAACCTTCCTCTAATCTCAGTCTCACAATTAAGGCAAATGCTTGATATGAGTCATACTGAAATCAATTTTGACCTCAGCATGAATGGAAGCGAAACTGATTAATTCATATCTCTTTTGTGCACGAAGACTACGAGCTTAGAGAATTTCAATGGGTGTATAAACAGACAGCAATGTACCATCAACTAAAATGTTAACATTTTATGTATACATATATATATATCTATACTGCATTTTTTATTTAAAGTTTGATCGAACAATCACTATGATGAACATCACCTATGTAGGATGTAACCAGTTTAACATTCTATCTTATATAAATCGTTCTTTTGGTAGCTATTGGATTAAAAGAAGAGATACAATCCATAATTATGATAATTATGCACAAAATTACATGAAGGAAAGTGCTTTTCACTGGGTAAGTTTCCCACAGGAATGAAGAGGATAACTGTATGAGGTAGTCATCTTACGACAGTATTTGGAGACAAGAGAAGAAAAATCCCTCTTTTCTATTTCTACAGCTCCTAGGTTAAATCTTTCTCAATCTGTTCTGAAGCAGCATAATCATACACAAAATTCTATCCTTGAGTTTGTGTCTACAAGCAAAACAAATACACTTCTGCTTGTACTAACCTGACCATTCTGCAAAGCCATACTTTACGCTGTTGAGTCCCTCTCTTTCTGGAGGTACTACAAGACCAGGTCAGCTCTACCCATTTTGGAGTATCAGCACAAACTATTTGACAGAAGTTTGAAAAAAATACTGGAGTTACATAGTTAACATCAGTGCAAAATGAACAGTTACTTGCAGTTCAGGGACTCAATTATTGTATTTTTGCTTTTTAATAAAAGAAGCTGGTTGTGCTGGGATGTTTTTACACAAATTTTCATCCTGTTATTCTTTCTATTTATTGTCTCATTCTTTTTAATTTTCCTTTCTTGAGTATTTAACATTTCTCTTCTACTTCAGAAATCTTTTCATTTGCCAGACATATAAACAAATAACTTCATTAAGGTGTTTTCATTCCCTCTCCTCAGAGTTCTTTCAAGGCAAGAGGATCAGATGTTTTTGGATGCTTTGCTGTGCCTTAACTGCCCGCAAACTGCTCTAGTAATACCCAAGGACAGTTCTCAAGTTTCCAAGTCTCATCTTTTAAGAATACAAACATGTTGCACTACTGTGACTGAAACACTGAGTGATTAGTTTGAGTACCATTTCGCTTGCATAATGATAAACAACCCTGTTTGTAAGCACTAATAAATAACAACTCCAGAACCAGGAAAAGATCACAACATCAGGCCTTTCCTACTAATTATTCTAATAGCAAAACATTAAAAATCTGGAATGGTATTATGCTCAGTCCTGTTTGCATTATTACATAAAAGAGATTAGCATCAGCAAAGGTCAGCAGAGAGCAATTGACTAATGAGGGAATTTATTTTAAAAAGTTGAAGAACTAACCATGCACTCCTTGAAAGTGAAGAAAGTAAATATGACCTCAGGAAGGTCTGGTAGAATTCAGAAGGGATCAGAAATGAAAGACAATAACAAGACTACTTGATCGTTTTGTCAGTAGATGAAGTAGTCACATAAAGTCGAGCTAAGTAAAGGTGAAGTCCTAAAGGAATATCTTGTATCCAGAGAACTGTTAACTCAAGTAAGTTATGTGCATTTATTTGAGTGTCTGAATGATTTAAATAGATGCAGGCGCATTTATTTTCCATCCCTCTGGAGTGCCACGCAGAACTAAACTTTTTGTTAATGAAAACTGGGATGAGCTTTGGTAAAACAGAGGATTTCACTAAGGAAAAAAATTATCTCTGATTTAAGAATGTTTCAAGGGTATGTTTTCCTCTGAAGTCACCACCAACTGTACTATTTATCCTGTGTTTGAGTGCCTTAGTATAAAGATATTCACGCAAGAACAGAATCTTTTTATGATGGGTAAACAGGCATTCTGCTTCTTTTTGGACCTGCTAAAATGCAATTTCTTGCTGAAAGAAGCATCACAGATGCTTCTAAGTGCACTAAGTCCACTTTTTAATACTATTCAAAAATGTTTCATAAAAATGCTGATCATACTAAACGCCCAAATGTAGGATTTTTCTTTAACAGAAAAGCTGCTCCAATACTTCTTAGTTATAGTTCCAATGAAACTTAACAAGAAATTCACTAACCTCAGCTGCAAGGGTTAGGCCACATGGGAGTCCTTTAAGAAACTGCACATAGTATTTATGATCTGATGCTTAACCATGCACTGGTCAAATGACTTCTGTGATGTAATGGTTAGCACTAAAGAAAGCATGGGTATGAACAAGAAAGAAAATATACTCTCTTCTACCTGCCGTGCTTTATGTGCTGTCTCAATGCCATGATTTCTTAGACAGCTTAAAGCCCTTGCATCTGGGGAGCGCCCCACGTTCCAGTCTGAAACGGCAGCACTGTCTGTCATCCACTGTAAGAACAAAACAAATACATATACACATTTAAAGAAAATTAAAGTACAGTACCTGCCTGGCAATATGATTCATGGTAATGCCATGCTTCTTCATGCAAGTCTGTCCTCGATAGTCAGGAGGGTTTCCTATTTCATAGGCAGATGTTGCTGCACTGTCTATCCTCCACTACAGAAAAACAAATTTACATTTTTATGTTTCCTTTCACACTGCTTATATTTGTACTAACTGGCTACAAGACTGTTATTTCAAAGGCAAGAACAGGAATAAACAGCTTACCTTATTTTCAACTTTTTCATCAGTTACAAGTTTTCTAAAAACTGCTTCAGCTATTGGAGATCGACAAATGTTTCCTATAGAAACAGGAAATTAAAGTAAAATTTAAGATGATTAAAAACAAAAAAAAAAATCAGTAACTGTGTGGATTTGTCAGCACAGATCAGATGAAAGATTTTTATTTACTTGGGTAGAATGTGGATTGCTGATGTTATTGTAACTCAGATTCTGCAAGAGTGGAAACATAATATCCATTAGTCTCTTGAAACAGGTATTATTATATGAAAACATACAACTTGTTAAAATAAATAGGAGGAGTATTGTGTAAGCACATTTCTCTTTTCTCCTCCTTCACAGAGGTTCTGTGATCACAGAAGACAAAAGGCAGGCAAAATTACAAAATTTAAATGACAGCAAAGTTCTTCCATACTGGCAAATTTCAACTAATGCATTACTGGAGAATCTATAAATATTTGCCTCAAATATTTACATTACTACCCACCTGTTAACAGAAACCTTTTGGACAATTCCAAAATACAACCACCACCAGGATGGAACCAAATTACTGAAACGGCTGAACGCATAGTAGAAATCCTCCTGACCACTGATGTGAAGTCACTTCAGGTCAAACTGAATCCTCAACAAGAGCAGCTTCCAAATATTAATTCCACCCCCAACTCCTCACCCCCAAAAGAGAAATCAATTAAACAAGCTATCAACAAACTTCAGGAAAAGATTTTTTTTCTTTCTTTTTCGTCCAAAATACAGAGGATTAGTAATGAAATGTAACATGGCAAAGTTGGAAGTACTGTCAGTCAGCCTAAGGTGCCTGTACTAATTTCAGAAATAGAAACTCAGTCTTGCCTTCCAGTGGCAACCAGTTACCAGCCAGTTGATCTGACCTTATTTTCAGAAACTATTTCAACAATGAAGTAGTGCCCAATAATAAAATAATAATTATACTACTAATAAAAATACTTAAAAAAAAGAAATAATAGGTCCAAAGTACTTCTGCTCTACTGTTGAAGCTGTATGTAGCTGGGTTAACCACTTAAGGTACACTTCCCGAACCTGCGTGCAAAAACAGTCTTTAAAAAAAGAAAAACATCTCAACAAATAAATAAATAAACCTATTCAACTTCACTTGAACTTCCTATCTTTTCATCCTTTCATATGAGAAACTAGATGCATATTTATAGTTGATACATTATCCACATCCACAATAAATCATACAAACTTCCACTTTCCATCAAAGAACATGATAGTCCACGTGACTTCACACATAGCTGACTTTGGAGCAGTTAAGTGTGAAATACCACAAATGGTAGCACTCAATTCTATACCTTAAAAAATCAGTTCAAAGATCAGTTCTGCTCCTGATTAAATTCCTTCCAAATTTCAAACAGTAAAAAAAAAAAAAAAAAAAAAAAAAAAAATGAAATGCCCACAAATGGAACTAAACTGCTGACACCAAGAGACTTACAGATCAAGCACTCAGCAAAATATCAAGGTGGATATTTCACTACTAAAGAGGAAGAAGCTGCTTTGACCCGCAGGTCATAATTAAATAACTTGTTGTCAGTCATGCCAACTATTAAAAAAAGTAGGTGAGAAGTAAAACTACAAAGTTTTAGAGTACACCAAAATGAATGAATTAATTAAATTAATTTTGATGGCAAATTTTTTTCCAGGGGAAAACATACTATTTCCTTTACTTGAACTAGCTTATTCCAAGCAAGGAAACTAAACTGGTCTTGAAAGAAAAATAAAACAGTTAAAATTTGTTTGCATTTATAAAGTGAGAACAGAGATTAATATTTATTATAAAAATGATAAAGAACGTGGTAGGTTAAAAAAATAAAAACCACTTAATTTAATTGAATGAATTAAGCATTAAATTATAATTTTACGAGGAATGGAACATGGCAACATCCAGCTTAAGACAGAAAAGAACCTTTGTAGTCAGCGAGTCCAATCCTCTGATACTGCAGGCATATACGGCACCACATCTCTTATAAACACATTAGGCTCTCTTTTAAAAGCATCATCTATCTTAAAAGGCTGCTCCAGAAACTCATTTCCTGCAGTAGCCAGAACCTTTCCAATCCCCACTTAATATTTATACTTGGAAGTCAATGCTCATTTGATCTTGGTTAACATCACTCTGTAGCTTAAAAACTTTCCTTCCCTTCAACAGATACAGAGCTCTTGTCAAGCACAGTTGTGCTAATCTAAACAAACCGAGCTCCTGGCCTCCTTTTGAAATTAATTTACCCTTATCTAATTGCTCCTGTTAAGCCAAATTTAAACAAATAAATTCAATAATTTTGAATTCCCAAACACTGGCAAATAAAACCAATGATATTCCAGGATTCTTTTTTTCTTTTTCAATCAATTTGGTTCACTAAATAAATAAATAAATAAATAAATAAAAAGTCCCCAAATATTTACTTTGTCCTTTTGAAAACAACCTAAGACAACTTCTGTGATCACATCTGCTTCCTTCACGAGTATCAAATTTGTGGTCATAGTCCCCACTTCTAATCTGCCCATTCCCTCTTTTGCTCCGTTGCTTCCAAACTATTACATTCTGCTTCCATTACACCAGCTGTTGAGAACACTCATTTCTTCCTGTATGTTATTTTTCCTTTGTATGAATTTTACCATGTAACTGTGCATGATCAGTAAATTTCATTACTATGCTTAATATTTCAGTAATTCCAGAATTTCAAAATGATACTTTTAAAATAAAACCTTCACAAATTTTTCTGTTTAACCTTCTCCTTTATCTGACTTGTTCCAAATCATTTTCACTCTTCTATAATGTGCTCACAACTTAAAATAAATGTCTGAATATCTTTGATCATACCACATCAGATATCATCACGAATGGCAACACAAACATTGATTAAATATATAACTACCATACTTCTAGCAATGCCTAGGAACTGCAGTCACGTAATTTATTAAATATTTGTAACTTAATTTGTAATTTAAAAATTTATGTCTTCCATGACAACACTTTCCAGGTATTACCAGAGGTATTAATTAACACTGCTGTAGAATCACTGTCACCATTCAAGTGTATTCACGGGGACTATGGACAGAATCCCAGAACTGACTTACCAGCTCTCTTCTCCTTATATTCTGCAGTATTATTTTCATCCTAACAAATTATTTTTATCTGTGATACTCCTTGTGACATTACAGCTCATCCCATCTTTAACGTTACTGTGACACATGCAAACTGCAACTCTTATTTCTCATAGTCATCGCCCCTTTCCCACAGGATAACTTCTATCCATTTATATTCAGTTTTGCAACCCACTGCTGTCTCTTCAGTCTTCACGGAGGTTTTTTGCACACGCACCATATTTCCTAAGCTAAGGTTTTACTGTCATAATTGTAGAACAAAAGGAAAAAATTCACACAGATTCAAAGGAGGATTACCTTCCTCCTTGGACTCAAAACGTATTTTCCTTAAATGTTATCAACTGCTTCCTTAGCATTGATTTTATCAGTCTTCTCCTCTCCTCCTCTGGTATTCCTTTTTCCTTCACTGAGCAGTCTCCTAACTGATCTAATCATGCCTTTTTTTTTTTTTTTTTTAAAATGTATAAGGTAATGGTATTGAAGTTCTCTGAATCTCTATCTCCTCCCTTCATTTTTTAGATTTCCATCTCTTCAGATAGTACCCAAGGTACCCAGAAAGAGCCTTCCCATTGAAATAAATCCTATAAACATCAAATAGAATGATTCAAGGGTGAAAGACAAACTTCAATTACAGAATCGGTACTGGAACTGTTGCCTGCTTTTACAAAGCCATGCTTTCTCACTCATTTCCCAAGGACAAGACTTCCACTGCCTATTACCCAACTAGCTCAGTTTTTGAGTTCTTCCAGTCCATGATTTAATCTTTGGTCTATTCCTGTACAGAAACAGAAACGTCACTTCTCCCATCAGGAAAGACAACTTGACTGCATTTCAAGCTCAGGCCTGTTGGTCATCTCTACAAAACTACCAATCTTATCATCCACTCTCTCAATCTGTTTTGTATCGTCCTTGTTCCTTATTCAGCTCTCTAACTCTTTCACATTCTTTGTCTTCCCCAAATGTGAACAGATGCTCTTCTCTTCTGTTACAAACAGCAGATGGAATAACAAAGGAAGAAGTTTTACTAGCTTTCATCCTCCCACATTAAAAAACCCACTTTCAACTCCATGTGTAGTCAATTCATCTAAGTCATTATCATACTACTTCCTAATGTAATTTGCATTGTCCAATAACTTACCATCAGGCCTCCCCCAGCAGCAAGTGTTCAAAACTTCCCTACTCTGTGCCATTACGTACTCAAATCCCTGCCTGAACTTCATCATGGTTCCCAGTCATGTCACTGTATCTTCTCTGCAGTCAAGCCTGTCTGCAGACACTACTGGATTGTTATGCTTTCTTTTCACAGCAAGCTAAAAGCTCCTCAGTAAAAATAAGTTCTCGATGCATAAGCACCCACCCGCAACAATCTGACTCCTATTTTTAGGCATACACCATAATCTTATTTTCCTATTCTAAGATGGCTTTTATGACCATGCTTTCAACTCTCCAGTTCTCCTGTATCATTCTGAAACAGATTAAACAAGACACTGCATTCAAACAGCTATCTTACCACAGAAGTAAGGTAGTTTCCTTACTTCTCTCTAACATTCTCTTCTTCATCCAAAAACTGTATTAGTTCTTTTTGTCACCTCACTGAGAACCCTCATGAAAGCAGCTATTTAGGACCTCTTTGATGTCTTTCCAAAGCTACTGCTTTCTCATTGGCTATATTTAAAAGTATGTATTGGATTGTGACAACTGAATCAGGAAACTCAAATCTTTTTGTGAGAAGTGTCGTTTCCTCATACCCAATAAATTCACTGTCATTTTAGAAAAGATGTTACGCAATTTCTGATGGCAGCATTCATACTCAATGAATGCTCATTCATACAACAAACACCAACTTCTTTTTTGTCAACTTTTGGACACTCCCCAAATCACTTTGCTAAACCATTTGTCTAGCAACTACTCCTCCATGCATGGACACCAACTTCTGGTCTAAGATACCCATACAGCTTGTTATGTTATAGTGGACAAGTCACAAAGAGGATAACTTATATAACATGGCATCATATTAAGTTCATTTCTAGAGCTCAATCATTAATTAGATGAGCTACGTAAGTGTAAAAAGAGAAAATTGCTTTCTGGTCCACCTCCAATATTAATTCTTTGCTTTAAATGAAAAAAAAATATATATTTCCAGGTGCCTTTTCATATTCTGTAATTAAATATGCTGCTGGATCCTCCATCTATTTCTTAGTGATGAGGAACTCTTATCATTAATGTAATTATGCACATTAGCTAGATTATATTTTGTTGTGTAATATCTGTTTATCTCATTACAAACAAAGAATAGAGTAAATGGATATTTTAATAACAGGTTTCTTTCAAAATAATGTAGAAAGAAAATATAATTTTTCATGAAGGCTTGTACTTTTGGGGATTTGCTCTTGCTGAATGTGGGAGAACATGTGAATTAATACTTCATTAATTAGCAAGGAATATTACAGGTAAAGTCAGTTCAAGACATCTACTCAACAGTCTTTTCAGCAATAACTATAGGTTATTCTAATCAAAAGTTGGGGGGGGGAACAACTATTAAGACATGATCATTGCTTTTCAAGACAAATTAAAAATATTAAGCAAACGTTTTGGAGGAAGAAGACACAAGTTGCCTTAACTGAAATACCTATTTGACCACAAAAAAGAGCCTTTTGTGTCTATTAGCTTGTATGTTACATGCCACATACCATTAGGTTGTATTTTTTATAACCCTGTAACACAGAAATTTCAGAGATATTTGCAACATTTATTTTTCAAAATTTCATCTTGTAAACATCAGCCCTTTTTGATTTGTTCATCCTTTCCTCAAATGTAGGATCATAGATCACTCTACACCTAAATTATCTTCTGTCAATGGTGGCTGCTCAGAGTCCCAACTGGATGGTCTCAACGTGTTACAGTGCAAATCACCATCATGGCCTTATAGACCTGTCCATACATAGGAATTGTTTTATAAAGATTACCACTGCCCTTAGAACATACTGCTGGGAGAGAAAGATGCATGTTAACATGATGTTTTTATACAGAGATATTTATACAGACATATTTGTGTAGGCCACTGGCTCCCAAACATACACCAACTGATAATTCCTTATCTAAAGGATGTTTTTCCCGAAGTTACTACTACAGCTTGCTTTTACAGTAAGGTAAATATCAAAACATATTTTACTAAACTAAACTTGTTTTGCTGTTTGACTAATCCCGATTTCTCCTGTTACAACAGCAAAAAAGCACTTAGCAAAAATAAATAAATAAATAAATAAAAAATATTAGCTAAAAGTTTTGTAATGAACCTGGCAAAATGCCAAGGATTCACAGGGATGAAATTTGAGCATATAAGTCAGACTATAAAAGCTAGGTGGCAGACAGTATTAAAAGCCCTACTAGATCAGAGCTGCGAACCCTCGAGCCTGTTATCTCTGGGAGGGAGCAGACGTTTTGGGGAAGTATGTACCCAGGAAGGTGCATGGCCACGTAATCCCCGTGGTCGGGTTGGCGATTTGTGGTTGTGAGGAAGCAGAAGATTGCTGTGCTGGTTAGGAACCGACTGTCCTGAGCTTCTGGAAAGCCTCCAAACCCTTTCTGATCCCTCCACGGTTGTTTCCATGACTTCTCACGAAATGAGCTTCAGAACTAAACACACGCCACACGCTTTAATTTTCTTTTAACCTGCTGCCTGCCTCTCCATTTAGGCAGCTCTTCAAAACAACAACAACAACAAAAAAAAGAAGACTTTATTATTTTCACTCCTTCCCACGATGGCCAGAACTGCACAGCCCCATGTCCGCCCCCACCAAGCTCCCCGTACCTCAGGCCGCACCGTGTCTCCCCGGCCTCGCGCCGACCCTATCGCCTCCTCCAGCCGCCCTTACCCCCGATCCCTGTCCCTGATCCCTGTCCCCGATCCCTGCACCCGATCCTAGATCGCCGACCCCCGCCGCCCGCCCCGCTCACCCAGGCACACGAACAGCACGGACTTCGCCTCCCCCGACGCCATCTTCTCCGCTCGGGAGGAGAAAGGAGGCGGGGGGGGGGGGGCCTCGCTTGCTATCGCGCCGCCTCGCTTTACGACTACAGCCGGCTTCGTTTTTTGCCTGATTTGAGAGAAAACAGAGGGAAAAAAATAATAAAAAAAAGTCAAACTGTGGAAACAAAACAACACGCGCTGGGGGAGGCGGGAGGGCACGGCCCGCCCGCTGGCGGCGGCAGGCGGGCGGTGGGCGGCCGCCCCGGCCCCGCCCGCCTCACCTGGGGCAGGTGAGCGGCTCCGTGGGGCCGCCCCGGCAGCGGCGCTGAGGAGAGCGGCGGGGCTGGGGCTGAGGCTGAGGTGTCCCGGGCGGGCAGGAGTGAGTATCCCGGGGGGTCCCGGTGTCAGGGGGCTGCTGACACTGGGGTTGGTCTGACAGCCCCGGAGGAGGTGGATTCTCCCTGTAGCCTCCTCGGTAGAGGGGTTCGGGAAGCGCCTGGTGCGGTGTTGTTCCTGCTGGGCTGGTGGTGGAGCACAAAGGCACGGCTGGAAAGCCTCCAGTCCTGTGAGGAGCTGCTGAGGGAATTGGGGTTGTTTAGTCTGGAGGAGAGGAAGCTCAGGGGAGACCTTAGTGCTCCCTACAGCTACCTGAAAGGAAGGTGTGGGGAGCTGGGCGTTGGCCTCTTCTCACGGACAACCAGTGATAGGACTAGAGGGAATGGCTGCAAGTTGCACCAGGGGAGGTTCAGGTTGGAAATGAGGAGACATTTCTGCTCAGAAAGAGCAGTCAGGCACTGGGATGGGTTGTCCAGGGAAGTGGTGGAGTCACTGTCCCTGGGGATGTTCAAGGAAAGGTTGGACGTGGTGCTTAGGGACATGGCTTAGTGGGTGACATTGGTGGCAGGAGGATGGTTGGACCTGATGATCTTGGAGGTGTTTTCCAACCTTAATGATTCTGTTATTCCTCTGAGGGACCCTGAGGCCACAGGGGCTGTGGTATGGCCTCAGGTGCGTTCTCATTGAGGGGAGCAGGGTGAGGAGAGCCAGCCACGTAATTCTTCAGTTTCAGTTGTCTGAAGCCTTTATCCATGCTTTCCATTGAGTGAGGTGTCTGGAGGTGTCAAAATTGGAAAAGAGATACCTCCCGCCTACCTTTCTGTGTGTTTGTGGATTGGGGAAATGTGGGACAGTACATAGAAGTGAGCACTTGAGACTAAATGATCTCTGTGGGTCCTTTCCAACTGAGTTATTCCAAAAACAATTCTGGATTTCATGTAAAACCCACTGAATGAACACACACCGAGTGTGTACCACGTAGGTGTGCCTAGCTCTGAAGCGTGGCTCTGCATTCCCAGCCCTCAGCAGCAGGACAGTCACGGTCTCCACCTGGTCCAGTTAATGCTAACTTCAGACCTTTGAAGTGAGCTGGAACGAAGTTCCCTGTTGTTCTTTGGCTTGTATTGATGTTCCTCACTGCTAGGAGTTACTATCTCTGACATAATCTGTCTATACTTAGCTTTTTAACACATCCTGTACATTGTTTTCAAAGAGCCTGTCGTGCCAGGGCACTATGAAGCATAAGCTCTGTCACTCAGCTGGATAGAAACACTACTGTAAGCAAGACAGTGCAGGAGCTTAGCTAAGCCAGGGCTCTTTGAATGCTTTAGTAATACATGCCAAGCACTTGTCATGTTGTTTTGTTTGCTTTTTAAAGCCATTCTTTATTCCTTGCTTCTTGTGTGATTATTGTAGAAACTATTCATATTCGTTGTGGGAATTAATAACTTGTTATTGATCTGTGTGCCTAGGGATATGTATGGGAAGAGGAAATGAGGGACAGAATGATGCCCATAGTTTTTCTGATAAAAGCGCCTTCCACAAGAAGTAGCAGGAGTCTGTATTTTGTTAAGGTGCCCAAATACATATTTTTCTCATAGGTTACTACTGTAGCATATGGGACTATTGGGCACATGGGAGTTGCAGTCGGCCACATTTTTGTTCTCTCTGTGCTTCTGTCCCCGGTGAGAAGAACAGGATGGGTTTTAGGGTTTTGTTCTCAAAAGCACAGCTTTGTTTTAGTTAAAGCTTTGTTGTATACTTGCTTTTCTCCTTGGATTGCCTGGAAGCTTATTCTTTGTGATTAAAATAGAGTTAGCCAACCAAAGCTGGGATTCAGGGATGGGGGTAAGGGGAAAATCCCAATCAAAATTTAACATGGCATACCGAGTCTTGTATTTAACATGAGAGACGGGCAGAACTGAATTCCTAGCTCTGGTTTAGCTTTGGTCGTGCTACTTGTTTTGCTTGGTGGGCAGCACCCCAACCCCTTTGGTACTGACTGTTTACACATCAAACATATTACAATCAGTGTATGTGAAGACTTGCCAACAGGGCTTCAGCTAGACAGTTTCCTAAGGCTTGGGTGGCTTGGTGGTTAGGCATGGTGGCGTGTTTTGCACAAAAGCCTGCAATTCTTGTATTACAAATTCTTGGAAGAGTTCTCTTTTCAGCCTCAGGCAGCCTTCAAGGTAGCTGTCTTTGGTGCTTGTTGTAGAGCATCCCAGTGCTGTTTTCTGACTGTCTTTGTACAAATCGAATGCCAATCATTTCTTTGTCATCTGAAAGCTGCTGCTTATCATGTCCTGGTCTGCTTCACCCTCATTTGATGGTGGTAGAATTATTTTACTTATGTATTGCTGACAACTAAATTCATGTTATTTTTAACGCTTTAGGTGGAACACAGTTCTTCTTCTGGTCTTTCTCAACACCTGATCCTTGTGGAAATTCTCACATTAAAGGCTTGACTTGGTGTTGCAATGCTCGTAACAGTGTCTAGCTTTAGTGGCTAGATTGATATTTCTTTGTTGGTGCTAAGTTTGAGCAAATATTATGTGTTCAGTCACTCTAAGAAGGGTGTCTTGTGTACCAACTTGAGTTGGAACAGGTATTGGCAGATTATTTATTAGCCTAACATCAATCCTGAATGATAATATTGAGATATACGACTGTGGATCCAGATGAGTTATAGAAGAGAATCTGCATAAACTCTATACTATGTAGGTGCCGTGCATTTTCTTAATGTTTCAATGACTTACCTGTTTAGGTGACATTGTCTCATATTTCATGTCTAAGCATTTAGCCTGTTAAAACCACATTATAAAACACACACTCCTCTAGTAGTTCTGTTCTCCTGAGGTGAGAAATCATCCTTGTAATAGACCTAGTAGTGAAGACATTTGGCATACTGACTTGTGATTTTTTTTGCCTTCATTTTCCCTCTTATATTTTTAACTGCTTGCCTTAATCAAATATTTGAAATATTTAAATCTTTATTTTCTTTTTAAAATGGTACTTTTTTTTTTTTTTGTGACCATTGTGCATCTCAGAAGTAAAAACTTAAGTCTAATGTAACCAGTCATCGTTTTTCTGCTTATTCACTTTTAGTACTACTCTGAATACTACCTGGCAGCTCACAAAGCTTTTGTATTGATTATATTTACTGGTAACAGCTTATTCAAATGTAGCGACAGCTGTATTCCTTGTGAGAGAATAATACATTTAGTTTGTTGGTTTAGGTTGGATATTAGGAAGAACTTCTTTACTGAGAGGGTTGTGAGGCATTGGAATGGGCTGCCCAGGGAAGTGGTGGAGTCACCATCCGTGGAGGTCTTCAAAAGACATTTAGATGTAGAGCGTACGGATATGGTTTAGTAGAGGACTTGTTAGTGTTAGGTCAGAGGTTGGACTTGGTGATCTTGAAGGTCTCTTCCAAACCAGATGGTTCTGTGTATTTTGATTTCTTCCCCATACCCTTTTCATTTATCCAAGCCTAGTGCCAAGCCTACAGCTCAGTTGTAAAACTCTGAATTTAGGATTTTTGCATTCTTGCCATTGCTAAATGTTATGGGGATTTCTGAAGATTTCTAGCTACGGGCGTTCTTCTGCTGTACCTCCCACGGGGTTGAAGAGATATCTTAAGTGCTTTTCAAAACAAATCACCTGATTCACCTGTGCCTCAGGTATTTCATGTATCACTCAGTGACTATTCATGTGTCACAATTCCTGACAAATAAGGAGGCATTGCCTCATTGAAGCATCTTGCATATACGAAGTAAACACATTTTTCTTTAAAGCCTCTTGTTCAGCTATGTCACTATGATAATAACCATATATAATCTGTCTCACATCACAGATCTGGTTCATCCTCCTATGAGATGAGAGGGGATTAGGGATGCTCCAAACTGACTTTGGTACCAAAACTGCTGGTAACTAAACTCGTCAAAAGCTTTTGATAATGTGGGTGGCTGTGTATTATAGGTGTTTGGGTTTGACTGTTGTTTTTTCTTTTTGCTTGTTTTCATATTTCTTGACTCTTCTCAAGGAAATAGTTTGAAGTTGAATTGATGACTGATAACATACGAAGTGGTACATTTTATGTTTGGATTAGTGAAGTCCTTTCCTCTTGGAGAAAAGTAATAAAAAAAAAATACACACACAGTGAAACCATGGGTGTGATTTTTGTGTGCATGCTTTTTTAGCATGAACAAAGCGGAGATTTTATAGGGAGAAAAAAAAAAGCTCCTGTGCTCTAGGAGTGCACGCGTAACTGATAGCCAAGCCTGAAAAGGCAGATTGTCAGCACCAGTATCTCTGACCAACAACCTTGTATTCTTTTGGCCATGATGATACTAACATAACTAGCATATAAATACTTTTACCACGTTTCATACCAGTTTATTCAGCTAGCCTGTGCAGAGGCTAAGCTTATTGTTGGACATGTTCTTGTATGCAATTACTGCATTTCCAATACATCTTGCCTTGCTTTCGGAAAGGTCATTGGCTAATGTCTTCTTTCGTATCAAGGGGGAAAGGAAAGTATTAAACACATAGTACAAAACACCTTAGGGTTGCAAAGGCACACGTTGGCTTTCCAGTCTTAGGGTGGCTCTGCAAGTCTGTGTAGTTCCTGTCAATGTACTGGTACTTTAGTAAAGTATCCTTTACTATAGGATTAGTAAATAGGCTTTGCTGTGCAGGGGGCCTGTTTTCTACCTTTCAGCTTTGTTTCCATCACCTTACACGATGTCTTCTGTCGTCTTCTGTCTCCCTTACTGTTCTCTAAATGCCTCTGACAGAATTATACAA